CTCAAAAGGAGTTTTGACCTTTGAGGTCGGCCAGACTCCATATAAACCACTTTTTCAACGAATGCCTTTTTCTTGCCGTCATAATGCCTCAAGTAGCTACTTGCCTGGTAAATAGTAGTATGATTGATCGTGAGGGTAAATACACATTTTCGTTTTCAACCATATTTGCCATATAAATATGATAAAGAAAATTTCGACAAGTCTTGAAATTCGCACTCGCTCTAAGCTATAGAGACAACTTGTAACATGATTATCAATTAATGCTTTTGAATTCATCCAAAAGTCCTCGCACCAGTTGGAAGATCTCAGCTGACTCGGGTCGTTGTTCTCAATCGCCCCATAACGTAATGCTCATCACCGGTTTTTTGTGTCAATAAAAGCCTTATTATAAATGCGAATTGTAAAATTGCATCTACTGCAAGCATGGATGCCCGGCGGAGTGGTAACATGTTTCAACTGGACATGGCGAGAGTTGCATCAAACGTACAGACCCGAGGTGACTCGAGTACCTGCCGAAGAGATACCACCAAATCAATGCAATTTTGCCTTGTCAACATCGGCCAAACATTAAATATTAATAACCAGAGGCCTCCGATTGGTATTCGAAACCGAATGACTCGTTGTCAACTCGTCAGTCAATATAATCTTCCGACAGACGAAACAGATCTTGACGCCAACCTTCTAAAATGTAGCCTTCTTAAAGACAAATGTTCAAAGAGGCCTCCTTTAAAGTTGATTTCGAGCATTGTCAGGTTCTTCGAACCGGATCAAATCAAAGCGATTCAGCCTATTTGCCACTTAAAAATTGCCAGCTCGAATCGAGTTCGACCCCCACTTAACGGGGTTTCGCAAAACAGACATAATCAGTCTCAAAACTTGCTGATTCTTGTGTGCAAACTCCAAAGTGGTGGTTAGTTTTTGCTCGAAAGTCGACCAATTATCCTGCAAACCTTGAGAAAAATGGATATGCTCTTTTAGCCGGTGGTTATGCCCATTTAAGGCAGATTTATGCATTTCACTAAACTTTAGATTATCAGCCTTGAATTTGACATTGTTTTTCATAACTTGTTTGCGCAACAGAAAGACTTTGTGGAACGTGCCCAATTCTGCCTCTTCTGACAAAGTAAACAGGATGACGTTTAGCATCGGACTGAGGGCTTGGTTCATTTTTAAACTTTTGACTGACATCATCTTCGGCAGTGTGCATGAGAAGCACCATTTCTACGCCCTGGTTATAACTCGTCAAATTGACAAGGCCACACTATTTTGGTCGTCATAGCTACTCAAATGACAACAGCAGCCATACAAAACGTCAGCGATCACTCGGGCTGCCTAACATCCATTTTGGAGAGTCCCTAAGAGCCAAGTGGTGTAGGCTTTGTCTTATGTAGAGTAAGGTTTTGGGGATGGTTTGAGCCAAACGGCCCCACAAAGGTATGAATGGCTTGTGGTGTGTGATTTTTAGATTGCCAGACTGATAGGTCGGCACCTCAAAAATTCTTTCTGCAAGTGTTACAGCGTTAAAGGGGTCTTGGAAGAATCTCTTTTCAGCATACGTCCCTGCCGGTGTGGTCATCTGAAAGAGAGAAAGCAGATTTTTAGGGTTTACTTTGTTTGGCTATGACAGACGTAAATGAGGTGAACATATTGAACCGTGACTTTGAAGGAGACAATGTTGAACGGTCTGCAGGTCAAAATACCGACTGTGCATGAGGACAGGAGGAGTGTAAGGAGAAAGAAGGAAGGAAAAGAAAAAAAAGATGAAGAAGAAGGTGGAGGAGGAGGAGAAGAAGAAGAGAGAAAGAGAAGAGATGGAGTAGGAGAAGAAGAAGGAAGAAGAAGAGGACGAAGAGAAAAAGGAAGTAAAAAAGGAGAGAGTTAATAAAAGGAGAATGAGAAAATGAAGGCGTAGATAAAAGAGGAGGAGAGAGTGGAGAGGAGAGAACGTTAAAAGAAATCATGGGATAATAGGGGAAAAAAAGACGGATGAGATGGAGCAGAAGAAAGTAAAGAAAGAGAGAATGAAGTGTATAACGAGGAGTTGGCAACGAATGAGGAGAGGGAATAAGCAAAGAGAGGGAAGAGGAATGGAAGAGGATTGAGAAGATAAAAGAGGAAAAAAAGAAGGAGAATGAAGAGATGGAGCAGAAGAAAGTGAAGAAAGATAGAATGAAGTGTATGAGGAGGAGGTGGAAACGAATGAGTAGATGGAAGAAGCGAAGAGAGGAAAGAGGAATAGGTTGAGGAGATAAAAGAGGAGAAAGGAGAAGAAGGAAGAGATGGAGCAGAAGAAAGTAAAGAAAGAGAGAATGAAGTGTATGAGGAGGAGGTGGAAACGAATGAGTAGATGGAAGAAGCGAAGAGAGGAAAGAGGAATGGATTGAGGAAATAAAGAGGAAAAAAGGAGGAGAAGGAAGAGATGGAGCAGAAGAAAGTGAAGAAAGAGATAATGAAGTGTATAACGAGGAGTTGGCAACGAATGAGGAGAGGAAATAAGCGAAGAGAGGAAAGAGGAATGGAAGTGAATTGAGAAGATAAAAGAGGAAAAAAGAAAGAGAATGAAGAGATGGAGCAGAAGAAAGGGGTGAAAGAGAGAATGAAGGGTATGAGTAGGAGGTGAATATGAATGAGTAGATGGAAGAAGCGAAGAGAGGAAAGAGGAATGGATTGAGGAAATAAAGAGGAATAAAGGAGGAGAAGGAAGAGATGGAGCAGAAGAAAGTAAAGAAAGAGAGAATTAAGTGTATGAGGAGGAGGTGGAAACAAAGGATTAAATGGAAGGAGCGATGAGAGGAAAGAGAATTTGATTTAGGAGATAAAAGAGGAAAAAAGGAAAAGAAGGAAGAGATGGAGCAAAAGAAAGTGAAGAAAGAGAGGGTGAAGTGGATGAGGAGGAGGTGGAAACGAATGAGTAGATGGAAGAAGAGAAGAGAGGAAAGAGGAATGGATTCAAGAGATAAAGGAGGAAAAAGTAGAAGAAGGGAGAGATGAAGCAGAAGAAAGTAAAGAGAGAGAAAATGAAGTGTATGAGGAGGAGGTGGAAATGAATGAGTAGA